TCAAATACAATCTTACATTGTAAATAGAATAGATAATAATGTTTAAACTAAACTAAAGAGTGCTAAAAGTTTTTAGTTATCTAAAAGCAGTATCAATGATAAAGTAAACTATAACGTGAATCGGTTAACACTGAGGAGATTTCTCTTTTACTGTTTGAATAAAATATTTTGACACGTCCATCCATTTTCTGTAGCGCTTATCCTACACCGTGTCGCATGGAGCCTGGAGTCTATCCCAGGGGCTTGGGGCACAAGGCGGGGGACACGCTGGAAGGGGTGCTTCATATTGAAATTCCAGGACATTCAAAAACTTTTCAAGCACAATTGTTTTTGTTTTCAAGGAATCTACAAGATGTAATTCAAACATATTCTTTATCTCTGGGTGTTACCCCGATTGTATCACATATATTTCAGTTTTAATGTGATTTTCTGAAAGCTTTGATATCTTTCAGCAACAGCAATAATATGAAATATGAAAATTCAGGTTACTCAGAATGAAAAGCATTCCATTGGCAAATTCTCATGCAGGTATGTAACAACTGTGAACAGCAATTAATGCACATGAAGTTTCATTGAGGAAGATTGTCACCATTGCTATTCCCTGTACATAAATAAAGCACAATTAGATTACTTGAAATAGAAGCACTGATTTCATCAATAAGTGCTACTCTTTGGGGCAGTCTCAGCTGTGTATTTGACATTACTTACTTTGTGTGAGTCCTGCGATGTTTCTCGGCTGAAAGTCACCCTAATTGTAGCACATTTACTGCAGTTTTGAAGTAAGTGCTAACAAGCTGGGGCAACTTTCAGTGAATTTGGACACCACGAATGTGGAGTGTGAAACTATAATCACATTCATTGTAGTCGAGATTCTAACTAAAGTGTTTCTCTTTACACATATTTATTCAAATTCTTGCACATATCTTTAGTGAAACATGTGTTGAAATCTCTTAGAGCAATTCCTTTTAATACATCAGTGAGAGCATCATTTGGCTGTGTACCTACTCTCAATCTAGACTGATAACTGCCTGTCAACGTGTGAATCACCTGGTTCATTCACATGGAGTGATCTGCCATCATCACTTCTATTGTCACATTGGCTTCTGTGGGTTGGACTGTGAATCATCTCAAGTTATGATCAGACTCCAAGCATTGAAATGAACATCACTTGACTCAGGCCCCTCAGAATGAAAAAGTGGTCACTGGTAAACTCTCAGTGGACAACTTCTAGGATAGCAGGCATGCAGTGATTATATTTGTTGTGGTAAACATGGCAGGAGAAGATGCAAAGAAGAAGACCACCTCTCTGTCTTATTGTCACAGTTGATATCCTATCAATGGCTCTGACCTTCCTGAATGGTAAGTACTATTTGTTGGGGTGATTTTGGGTAATTCAAGCAACTAAAGATACTATATATTTGTTTACAATGTATTAAACGTTAAACAGTTTGGACAACATCCAATACTTTCAAAAGAAACCACAATTCGATTGCTTCAAATAGGAGCAACTTGATTTACAATACATACATGAGTGCTTCCCGTTGGGGCGGTCTCATCTGTGTATTTGACTTTACTGTCTTCTGTGCCTGCTGCAATGTATCTCTGGGTGTTACCCCGATTGTATCACATATATTTCAGTTTTAATGTGATTTTCTGAAAGCTTTGATATCTTTCAGAAAAGCATTCCATTTGTTCAATTGGCAAATTCTCATGCAGGTATGTAACAACTGTGAACAGCAATTAATGCACATGAAGTTTCATTGAGGAAGATTGTCACCATTGCTATTCCCTGTACCCCAATGGATTTCAAGTCCATCGCCTTAACCACTCGGCCACAACTACATAAAAAGTCTGAACGTATTTCCATGCACTTTGTTTCAGAAATGTATCGGCTTCACTTAGGGACCCTGCTCCGGTATTTCGGCAACACCACAACAAAGCAGCGGAGTTGGTTCCCTTGGCAACCGTCTACTGCCATGAAATCAAGCCTGTGCTATCATTTGAAGCCTAGAATTGGCAGCAATGAACATTTATTAACCACAGTGTGGCAAAAAGAAGCTTCAAACTGTTTGTAAGCATCTACAATATGCAGGGAACTTTCAGGTGATCCATTTAAATATCTTAGCATGCAAAGAGGGACTACATTATGATTGGTCTTAGTGACCATCAACAAAGTGCATGTCAGAAGTGGGATTTGAACCCACGCCTCCAGAGGAGACTGCGACCTTAACGCAGCACCTTAGACCGCTCGGCCATCCTGACTAACTGTCTCAAAGCTATGCAGATTTGCCAAAAAGCTATGCATTTCTTTTAACAAGCTCTCAGAAACAGACTCAACAGAGGTGCAGCAAAGGAACCAAATGGCAGAAGTGGGTTTTGATCCCAAGCCTCCAGGGGAGACTGCTACCTGAACGCAGCGCCTTAGACCGTCGTCGACCATGCTCGGGTATAGCCAATACTTTCCAAATAAAGCACAATTAGATTACTTGAAATAGTGAATAGCAGCAGTGAATGTTCAGGTATTTCGGCAACAAAGCAGTGGAGTTGGTTCTTTCTATGCACAGTGCCATCCTGACACACATAAGCTACAGTGTCGTGGACCATGCTCGGGTATAGCCAATACTTTCCAAATAAAGCACAATTAGATTACTTGAAATAGAAGCACTGATTTCATCAATAAGTGCTACTCTTTGGGGCAGTCTCATCTGTGTATTTGTCATTACTTACTTTGTGTGAGTCCTGCGATGTTTCTCGGCTGAAAGTCACCCTAATTGTAGCACATTTACTGCAGTTTTAAAGTAAGTGCTAGCAAGTTGGGGCATAAGCGTGAGCTGTTAGTTTGAAGGGGAAATCAGTGTCAGGTGTTTTCAGTCTATGGCATAACAATCAGGTGTGAGTGAGTACCATGTCTGATTTGAGGAACAGGGATCAGTCAAAGTCTGACCTTCACAACACATGTTTGTTAAAGTGTATCATGCTAGGCAAAAATTTTATTTGTGAGGATCTGGGAAAAGGCTTTCGGATGAGGTGGCCGAGAGGTTAAGGCGATGGACTGCTAATCCATTGTGCTCTGCACGCGTGGGTTCGAGTCCCACCCTCATCGCAGACAGGTTGTTTTGCCTCCACTTTACAACAACCTCTGGCTTGGGTGCAGTCTGTCTCACACATACAAGGCCTACAGGTGACAGGCTCTGGACAGATCCATGAGACAGAACAAGTGTGGGTGGAGAAACATGAAAAGCTAGAATTGCAATGGCAAACAATGTGCATCACATCCTCCTTTATTCTCCACAGACTCCACAGACTGGCATGTAATTTCATAAGTGTGAGTTATGTCAGCAATAGGTTAAGTTGATGGACTGCCAATCTGCTGTGCACAGTCTGGATTTGAATCAAGAAGACTTTTAATGCAGGTTTAATGCAAGTTCTCATTCGTAGTTTGACAGACAATACTGTCCAAATTAAACACCATTACATTACAGGAAATAGAAGCACTGATTTCATCAATAAGTGCTACTCTTTGGGGCAGTCTCAGCTGTGTATTTGACATTACTTACTTTGTGTGAGTCCTCGTGTTAGCTCGGCTGAAAGTCACCCTAATTGTAGCACATTTACTGCAGTTTTAAAGTAAGTGCTAACAAGCTGGGGCAACTTTCAGTGAATTTGGACACCACAAATGTGGAGTGTGAAACTATAATCACATTCATTGTTGTTGAGATTCTAACTAAAGTGTTTCTCTTTATAAATATCTATTAAAATTCTTGCACATATGCTTAGTGAAACATGTGTTGAAATCTCTTAGAGCAATACTTTTTAATACATCAGTGAGAGCATCATTTGGCTGTGTACCTACTCTCAACCTAGCGTGATAACTGCCTGTCAACGTGTGAATGACCTGGTTCATTCACAAGGAGTGATCTGCCATCATCACTTCTATTGTCACATTGGCTTCTGTGGGTTGGACTGTGAATCATCTCAATTTACGATCAGACTCCAAGCATTGCAATGAACATCACTTGACTCAGGCCCCTCAGAATGAAAAAGTGGTCAACTGGTAAACTCTCAGTGGACAACTTCTAGGAAAGCAGGCATGCACTGATTACATTTGTCATGGTAAACATGGCAGGAGAAGATGCAAAGAAGTAGACCACCTATCTGTCTTATTGTCACCGTTGATATCCTATCAATGGCTCTGACCTTCCTGAATGGTAAGTACTATTTGTTGGGGTGATGTTGGGTGATTCAATCAACTAAAGATACTATATTTTTGTTTACAATGTATTAAACGTTAAACAGTTTGGACAACATCCAATACTTTCAAAAGAAATCACAATTCGATTACTTCAAATAGGAGCAACTTGATTTGCATTACATTCGTAAGTGCCTTCTCGTTAGGGCAGTCTCATCTGTGTATTTGACTTTACTGTCTTCTGTGACTGCTGCAATGTATCTCTGGATGTTACCCCAATTGTATCACATATACTTCAGTTTTAATGTGATTTTCTGAAAGCCTTGATACCTTTCAGTGACAGCAATAATATGAAATTACTGTCTTCTGTGACTGCTGCAATGTATCTCTGGATGTTACCCCAATTGTATCACATATACTTCAGTTTTAATGTGATTTTCTGAAAGCCTTGATACCTTTCAGTGACAGCAATTATATGAAATGTTGAAACGGTAGACATTTTTCACTTCATACAGATTAAGTTGAACTGTTCCCAGTGAATTTGGTGAAATTTATTCTGCCAACTGTGTGTTTGTTTGTTTTTTCTTCATCATGAACTATCATCGCCCTTTCCATTTTGATGCTGGGCAGATCCTGAACATTCATTGGAATGACACCGGACTCAGAATGAAAAGCATTGCATTTGTTCAATTGGCAAATTCTCAGTAGCAGGTATGTAACAACTGTGAACAGCAATTAACGCACAGTGAGGAAGATTGTCACTAATGCTAGCCAAGTACTGGCCTGTCTGAAAGGCAAACCAAACTTCAGACGTAGTTGGCAGGAGTCGAACCCCCTGCGGCGGGAGACCCCAATGGATTTCTAGTCCATCGCCTTAACCACTCGGCCACAACTACATAAAACAGCCTTTGCTTCATGAATGCTCCAATGTATGAACTCGTACCCATGCAATTTGTTTGAGAAAAGTATAGGCTTCACTTAGGGACCCTGCTCAGGTATTTCGGCAACAAAGCAGTGGAGTTGGTTCTTTCTATGCACAGTGCCATCCTGACACACATAAGCTACAGCGCGTCGTGGACCATGCTCGGGTATAACCAATACTTTCCAAATAAAACACCATTACATTACTTGAAATAGAAGCACTGATTTCATCAATAAGTGCTACTCTTTGGGGCGAGTCTCATCTGTGTATTTGACATTACTTACTTTGTGTGAGTCCTGCGATGTTTCTCGGCTGAAAGTCACCCTAATTGTAGCACATTTACTGCAGTTTTAAAGTAAGTGCGAGCAAGTTGGGGCATAAGCGTGAGCTGTTAGTTTGAAGGGGAATCAGTGTCGGGGTTTTCGTACAATCGCATAACCAGCCACCTTCTTACTGTTCAAGGGTGCAACGGTTAATACACATCATTTAATACTTGACGTAAAACACAGTTACAAAACATTTAACTCAAAGGAGCTACCCCCCCACCAGCGGTAGCAGTCAGGAATTCCAGGAAATATCCCGTTTTACCATTAAATACATTTCTAGTATGTTAAGAGAGAATAATACACTTTAGTCGTTAGCTTAATTTAGTGTGCGTGGACGAGCTGGCGCTAACCATTCTATTGGACCGCCCTTTACAAGCCTTAGCAGGAATGGAGCGTAAGACAGGGCTTAAGTGCAACTCCTTGGCCAAGCATCTTTTCAAGCCTTTTCAAGCCATTTCTAACCCCAACCCTAAGCTGTACATGATGTGAAAGAAAAAACGTGATATTCCTCAGACCAAGCCACCTTCTTACTGCTCCACTGTCCTGTGCTGATGCTCTGTGCAGTTTCTATGAGCGGCTTTGATGGAAGAAACTGGCCAGCATAGCTAGTGTAGAGGCCACCATTTTCTTGGTTTTCGTCCCTGGTTGTCTAGTGGTAAGGATTTGGCGCTCTCACCGCGGCCGGGTTCGATTTCCGTCAGGGATGTGTGTTTTATCCACCGCTGGCCAAATTAACATTTAAAAGAAACCATATCACACAGAGAAAATCCGTCTCTTACCAACTGAGCCTAACGGAGGTGAAGCGAAGCTTCAATCCATGTATATCTATAAAACCATATAATCTATATATAAGGTGCGAATTTATCCCAACTGACCAAGCCACTAAGTGGTACGGTGGCAAGGTAAAACTCCTTAAGATGTTAAGAGGAACACAAACCTTGAGAGGAACCAGAATCAGAAGGGAACCTATCCTCATCTGGGTAACATCAGATAGTGTGAAAAAATGATTATTTGATTCATATGGAGTCTCTTTGGCCTTAGAAGCAGCTGTAGTCCCAGCAATCTGGAATTGGAGTAGATGAGAGCTCCATCCAGAGGTAGGCCATCCAAAATGGATCAGGTAGGTCCAGAGAGCAGAGGGGATCTGCACTCTAGTATCTCCATAAAATCGGGGTGTGGCTCGACAGAAGGAGGGAGGGAGAGAAAAAAACTAGGACTGTGCTTAGCATAAGAGAAAGTCTAGTCAGGGTAGGCTTGATTAAACAAATACGATTAAAGCCTAGACACTGAGACTGTGCCTGAGTCCCGAACTCTAATTGGAAGACTGTTCCATAAGTGTGGGGCCCGCCAGAGAGAAAGCTCATCCTCCTGTTGTAGCCTTCGGCTTTCGAGGTGCGAACAAATAGCCTGCATCTTTTGATCGTACGGTAGGCGCGGCATCATAGAAAAGCAAAAGGTCGCTTAGATACCGGGGGGGCGAGACCATTTAGTTAATTATGGGTTACTAATAGTATTTTATAATATAAAGTATTTTATAGTTTTATCTTTGATAAGTGAGCTAGCAAACGAGATCGATTTTCTATCGAATTTTTGCTCTTCACAAGCAAAGCGGCAAAGTGATTTAAGGAAACACTAGACTATTTTTTCTGGAGCCAATAAACGTGTTTGTGCATCTTTATATTCTCATGTTTCTGCCCTTCTACAATACATTTACTTCAATTAAGTAACTAGACCATTTACAACTTTACATGTACACATTCGATTCAGTTCAAATCAATTTTATTTGTGTAGCGCTTTTACAGTGGACATTGTCTCAAAGCAGGATTTGCTTGCTTTCACGCGCAATGCATTCCCAGGATGGAAGATGTGTTTGGCACGAGCTTGTTTGATGAATGCCAAGGTGCTTTGTTGCTCATCTTCATAAAGATTCTCTGCATTAAGACTCAGGTTCATAGCAGGCTTCAACTTGCACAGGTAAAGCCCCAGTGCAGTTCAAGTCCAGTGCCATATTCTGTTGGCCATCACGGGTATGGGGCACAGGACAAGGCTTGGGGCGCGGCCTAACCATTCTCTATTGGACCGTCTTTACAAGCCCTTAGCAGGAATGGAGCATAAGACAGGGCTTAAGTGCAACTCCTTGGCCAAGCGTCTTTTCCCTGCTCTTTCAAGCCATTTCTAACCCCAACCCTAAGCTGTACATGATGTGAAAGAAAACGTGATTCCTCAGACCAAGCCCACCTTCTTACTGCTCAAGGGTGCAACGGTTAATACACATCATTTAATACTTGAGCGAAAAACACAGTTACAAAACATTTAACTCAAAGGAGCTACGCCACTCACCAGCGGAGTAGCCAGTAATTCCAGCAAATATCCTGTTTTACCATTTAATACATTTCTAGTATGTTAAGAGAGATAATACAGTTTAGTTGTTAGCTTACATTTAGTGTGAATGGTTGAGCAGCGGCGGGGCTTAACCATTCTATTGGACCGTCTTTACAAGCCTTTGCAGGAATGGACGCGTAAGACAGGGCTTAAGTGCAACTCCTTTGGCCAAGCATCTTTTCAAGCCTTTTCAAGCCATTTTTAACCCCAACCCTAAGCTGTACATGATGTGAAAGAAAACGTGATTCCTCAGACCAAGCCACCTTCTTACTGCTCCACTGTCCTGTGCTGATGCTCATGTGCAGTTTCTATGAGCTTTTGATGGAAGAAACTGGCCAGCATAGCTAGTGTAGAGGCCACCATTTTCTTGGTTTTCGTCCCTGGTTGTCTAGTGGTAAGGATTCGGCGCTCTCACCGCCCCGCGCCCGACGGGTTCGATTCCCGGTCAGGCAAAGTGATTTAAGGAAACACTAGACTATTTTTTCGGAGGCCAATAAACGTGTTTGTGCATCTTTATATTCTCATGTTTCTGCCCTTCTTCAATACATTTACTTCAATTAAGTAACTAGACCATTTACAACTTTACATGTACACATTCGATTCAGTTCAAATCAATTTTATTTGTGTAGCGCTTTTACAGTGGACATTGTCTCAAAGCAGGATTCGTTTGACTTCCTTTACGTCAATGCAATTTCCCAGGATGGAAGATGTGTTTGGCACGAGCTTGTTTGATGAATGCCATGGTGCTTTGTTGCTCATCTTCATAAAGATTCTCTGCATTAAGACTCAGGTTCATAGCAGGCTTCAACTTGCACAGGTAAAGCCCCAGTGCAGTTCAAGTCCAGTGCCATATTCTGTTGGCCATCACGGGTATGGGGCACAGGACAAGGCTTAAGTGCAATTTCTTGGATCATTTATGGTTTTATCGTTTATGTTTGATGCTATCCAAAGTGCCAACCGTCTTTCAGCGCGTAAGTAGGATTTCCTCGTTAGTATAGTGGACAGTATCTCCGCCTGTCACGCGGAAGACCGGGGTTCGATTCCCCGACGGGGAGTCTGTTTGCTAACACCGGTGCTCTATTCTTTTGCACACCACGCGAAAGAACCATGAGACAAGGCTTAAGTGCAATTCCTTGGCTTTTTTATGTTTTGGTCATTTCCCACGTGCCAAGCGTCTTTACAAGCCTTACCAGGAATGGAGCGTAAGACAAGGCTTAAGTGCAACTCCTTGGCCAAGCGTCTTTACAAGCCTTAGCAGGAATGGAGAGTAAGACAAGGCTTAAGTGCAACTCCTTGGCCAAGCGTCTTTTCAAGCCTTTTCAAGCCATTTCTAACCCCAACCCTAAGCTGTACATGATGTGAAAGAAAACGTGATTCCTCAGACCAAGCCACCTTCTTACTGCTCAAGGGTGCAACGGTTAATACACATCATTTAATACTTGACGTAAAACACAGTTACAAAACATTTAACTCAAAGGAGCTACGCCACTCACCAGCGGTAGCAGTCAGGAATTCCAGGAAATATCCCGTTTTACCATTAAATACATTTCTAGTATGTTAAGAGAGATAATACACTTTAGTCGTTAGCTTACATTTAGTGTGAATGGTTGAGCGGCGGGCCTAACCATTCTATTGGACCGTCTTTACAAGCCTTAGCAGGAATGGAGCATAAGACAGGGCTTAAGTGCAACTCCTTGGCCAAGCGTCTTTTCAAGCCTTTTCAAGCCATTTCTAACCCCAACCCTAAGCTGTACATGATGTGAAAGAAAACGTGATTCCTCAGACCAAGCCACCTTCTTACTGCTCAAGGGTGCAACGGTTAATACACATCATTTAATACTTGACGTAAAACACAGTTACAAAACATTTAACTCAAAGGAGCTACTCCACTCACCAGCGGTAGCAGTCAGGAATTCCAGGAAATATCCCTTTTTACCATTAAATACATTTCTAGTATGTTAAGAGAGATAATACACTTTAGTCGTTAGCTTACATTTAGTGTGAATGGCTGAGCGGCGGGCCTAACCATTCTATCGGACTGTCTTTACAAGCCTTAGCAGGAATGGAGCGTAAGACACGGCTTAAGTGCAACTCCTTGGCCAAGCGTCTTTACAAGGCTTACCAGGAATGGAGCGTAAGACAAGGCTTAAGTGCAACTCCTTGGCCAAGCGTCTTTTCAAGCATTTTCAAGCCATTTCTAACCCCAACCCTAAGCTGTACATGATGTGAAAGAAAACGTGATTCCTCAGACCAAGCCACCTTCTTA